GAACTCTTTTTCAGAAAATAAGAATGCAAGTTAATTAGCAATTTTGTTTTTTATTGAAGCACAAAAAAATATTATTTTAAAAGAAAATAGGTAATTTAAAAAAATAAAAACAAATTTTTAATTAGAAAAAACAAAAAAAGAGTAAACAAAAGACGCAGCTACAGTATCCTTATCTCACTAACATTTATAGCCAAGTTCCAAACAAAATTCGCTAATCATGATAAATACTAAACCGAGTTTCCTTAAATTTTGCATACTGGGTCTTGACACCTCCTAAATGGCTTACGCATGGTTTTTTCTCGGAAGTAATAAATAAGCTCAAAGTTTTGAAAAAAACGCTAGCCTTGCAGTTTAGTTAAGTAGGATCTGCTTAGTAACGTTGAAGTAAAATTAACACCATCTACGAAAAAAAGGCGTTCTAAACGTCAACGTCTCTGGTGTATCACCTGATTTTGCCAGAGCACCTCTTGCTGAAACAGCAGGCCAGATCAAGCGGGAGATCTGTGATGCTGATAAAACTCCAGCTCTAGTTTGTCATTTTATTGATCTACAGCTGGCTCTACACCATTGAGCATAATAAAGATCGAGAGAAAGTGTCATCATTTGTTTATTATTTAATTAACCAATGATGACTAAAGTGGATATCGACTATTGAATCAAGAGTTATTTATTTAATTTAATGATTAACCTGACACGGATCTTCATCAAGTAACGACCAATACTATCAAACATCATCGTTGGTCCTTTGAAAGGCCATCATAAATCTTTACGTTCAATAAACTGACATCAATCTCATGAGTTCTTTTTAGTTATCTAATGTCAAACCATTTCGCTAAAAAATATGTTATTGCAACTACTTCTGGAAAACATTATTGCATATATCTTGAAGCAATGTCCAACAACTACTCGTCCTCCAAAAAACCACGTATAAAATCGTTCCCTTTTAAGCCAAGTCAGCTATTTACAGGTAGAAGTCATAAGCGGAGCTATTCATTGTAAGCCTAGAAAAGCCAACCATCAACGGCCCCTATATTCAACCAAGAATTTACTTATCATCTTCGAGATCTGCGCTCAGTGAACCTAATAGCGAAGCGGTAAAGGAAAAACAAACTTGAGCAAACGGGACAGTCTTCAACAGGCAAGCGACACGAACCACTTATCACCTTCGAACACTTAAATAAATAAGTTCCATGAAAGAAAGATATCCAGAAGTATCCAGACAGTAACGTTTGCTGGAAACTTCAGTCAAGAAAGAGTTCAGCTCACCGTTTCTTTTTAGGATCATCTAATTTCGAACTACCTTGCCAAAAATATATTCCAACTTAGCATAGTTTTTAACAATACTAACAGTTTCAAGGGGGTGAATCGAAAGAAAAATTTTTAATTTTGTAAATGCAAATTAGAAATTTCGGAGCTAACACAGAACATTTATCAGGATTGGAACACCAGCGTCAAAGTTGATAAATTAATAATCTATTTAGTCACAGATCAGCTTTACAGTATTACCTAGACATTGATTACTTAAATCTTCTAGCTATACAAATAAATGAAATAATACGTAGGTATTTATTGTGGCATTAAAAAATAGATGTACACGGCTCAAGTACTTTGTGGCTCCAGTGGTAAAGTTTTTTGACCGAAAAAAATTCTTAAACTACATTTTTTATCAGTTTTGAATCATTTCAGCTTCAACAAACAGCCTTTATTATATGTTATAATATAAGAAAGTGAAAAAAAGAGCTGCGTTGGCTCCGTGTTAAGTGTGCTTGTGACTGATCCAATGTCATTTGAGGGGTTGTGGGTTCGATTCCTGGTGAGTACAGATTTTTTTAATAACTGTTTTCACTGGAAAAAGTTTTTATGCAACTCAGGCTGTTTTGGGGCGAGTTTTGCCGTGGAATCTTTCTTCAGAGTAATTCCAGGGTTTTTTCCTTGTCCCATAGGTCTGTAAAGATCATAGAAGTTCGAAGGGTAGGATCGCCAATGTAGAGATTAAGAGATCATCTACAAGAGAGAAAAAGGTGTTTCGTCCCGAGAGCATGCCAGGACTTATCAGTAAGGCTGATGGTGTGCTCCCTACCTTAGACACGAGAGAGGTATTGGCTTAGACTGACTCGATCGCGCTTATATAGTAATTGAGCGGGTATTCCGCCGCTTGACGGGAGAGAATTATTAGGGGCTTGGCCACCTAGCGAGTAGAGCCTGAAGCGCGAGATATGTGAGACGCCACAAATCTTCAGGCCTGGGTGAATGAGAAACAGTATTGGGGCTATAAGTAGGGATTAGCGGATCTGATACGCCTGGCAGTGATCGCCGGCCTTACCCGCGAGGAGTGGTCCCTAAAACATGGGGCTTCTCTAGGTATACTAATCAGCCTGGATCCGAGGCTTTGACAGAGAGCGCCGGCTTAACTGGCAAGGAGTGGATGTCCTGAAGTACGGAGTTTTATCCGGGGAAAGGCTACACAGTTGCGAGTGGTCCCGATGCACGATTGGTGTGCAGAGTGTTAGCCTCACTGGTAAGGTGTTTCACAGGAGATACTCATACTGTGCCCATGGTATGATGATATCAATTAAGAGTTTGGAAATAGATTCGGCAATACACCCCCTATATAGGTGGCAAGTGGGTGGCCCGGGTTACTAGATCAATACACTGTCGCTGTAACCCGTTAGAAAAAAAAAAAAAAATTACGAAATAGTGAAAATAAATGACTCTTTTTAGTGGCAACAATTGTTTTATAGCGTTAGGTACGTACAGTACTTATCGGCACCATACATTTTTTTTCATTCTTCACAGCTCATAATTTGATTACAACTAAATGGATTTCAAACAAAATCTTTTTTTTTTCATAACTTTTTTTATTCCAAGAAGTATCAAGAATGGATGAAAAATATTGAAATATTGATAAAGTTGAAATGTTTTACATAACGTACTAGTACACTATAGCACTTTACTCAGTGAATCTTGGACGAAGATAATGCCAAAACATAAGAAGAAGTTTTTTTAATTTTTATTGAAAAATATTCAATTCGAAAAACAAAATTTTAAGTAAGTTCTTCGACTCTACTCAACCAATCAACTACTAACTAATATTTTTAATCTTACTTGAAACAATCATTTTAATTGTCTATAGACTGCTCAATAAATAAAAATAGAACATTATAAAGATCAAAATGAGTTGAACAGATAAATTTATCTACATCTGATAAACAGTGCCTTTAGAAAATCTATTTAGAAAATTAATATATGTTAACATATACCAATATAATATAAAATAAAAGTTATATTGAATTTAAAGGACTTAAATTACAGTTTTCTTGATAGAAACATCTATTAGAAACCTTGAATGTAAGTAAAGGAAGGTTTTAAAAGTTCAATGAAGTTTTAGAAAGTTAAACTCCTTAATCTACATCAGTAACTTGAGTACAGAGAACATTAGATGATATTTTAATTCTCATGCCGTACATTACTGACATTTCTTTTCATTCAGCAGTAAAAAGTTAAAAAAAAATAAGACAAGCTGAAGTTTAAATTTAGAATTACTGGTGTAAGGCAACCACAAAAATTTTATAAAATGAGAACGGATTGAAGCAGGTCCAATCCAACTATAACACTTATGTTAAACTAGAGAAAAACACTGACATGACGTTTAAGGATTCCTGTTAAATGAAGATGCATCTACTAAAAATACCTATAAGGACGAATTAAGTAACAAATGAAGATAAGCTAAAAAAATATAAACTATAGGATCATTTGGAAAGTCAATTAAAGAAATTTAAAAAATGTGATAGTGGTAACCTAGAGCATTAGTACATAGAGTTAGTCGGACCCTCCTGTACCAAGTTGATAAAGTTTATCTCAATACAGCTTATGATGTAGGTGTCTTAAGTAGACACTTCATTTATTCTACTAAAATAAGTGGTTAAGTGAGTCTGCAAAAATTTTGAACGAAAGACAACTTAAAAAGCTTACCTTATGCAAGTCTGAATGGTTGCGAAGACTTTCTGACAAAAAGAGAGCTTATTATAAAACTGAACAAAAAGACATTTAGCTGAAAAACACGCAAGTAGGTAGCCTTATTAATGTATAAATAGTGAATAATGCTGTAAGTTTCTACCTGTTATTTTGTGATGTGGTAACAAAGTAGCAAAAATAAGTAGTCAGGTAGTAATAGTAACAAACTTAGATATATGACAAATAGTATAGATAATCAAAATATAAGTTTTTTTATTGCTCTTGGTCTTCTTTTGAAAGTTATTATTTGTTTTGATTGCTTTGTACATTTACTTAAACTTTATTCTAAATTCTCTTACAGTTGTATCTAAGTCGCTAATTCTAATGCAAAAATATGATTTAGAACCAGTTTACAACATGTTTACTACAATTAAGAAAGATTTCTGAGTGAAGAAAGACCTCCAAAAACTTGTGGTGAGCAGTGAATAGTATTTAAAAGACGTGAATGGTTTGAGAGAAATTTTATTGACTATCGTTGAAGGAAGAAACAGTCAAAATTTTTATAAATTTTTTGATGCTGAGAGTAGGGTGGTATTGTCATATTTAAATCAGAACTTTGGTCGAAGCAATGAAAGGTATAAACTACTGAAATTACTCTACAGTATTAATGGATCTTATTTTTGTTATTATTGTTAAGGTGCAAATAAAAAAAAAAAATTAAAATGTTTTCCGGTTAAATAAGCCATACATCAGAAATGAATGTCTTTTCTGCCCAAACATTATTAATACTTTCTAGTTTACATAAAATGTCAAATACTACTTAAGGATACCCAAATCTTTTTATTATACAATAGTTATTCACTGAGTCGTTTTAAAAATGTTAGGAATGCAAAATTTGTTGTCCACTTCAATTATTCGAGTGATACCATAGAATTTAATAGCTGTTTGTATAGATCGTATGAAATTTATTAAACTGGCCTCCTCAAATTTCAATTGGTTAAAAAGTTGCATTATAATGGTCTGAGTGATACTGTTATTGGTTGCAGGAGGTGTTATTGGATGCAGACGCAATCATGGATGTGGGTTACATTGGTACGTTTGGATTGGCATCCCTTCATCGACTTGTATCCACATTAATATTTTATGCTGAAGAATACTTCCAAGAGTCGGAAACATGCTCAGTCAACACGATCCAGGATCATATTCTCTCTACTGTGCTTGCTGCTGTATTTGTTTCTTTTTCGATATTATTTTACATGTTTCCTCTTCCTAATTAGTATGTAGCATAAATCATTGATCAAAACTTAGTTAATCTTGATGAAGGATAAGCCCCGCCTTTATGAAAAAAATTTCATCGCAATTTGTTTACCCTTTTAATATTTTTGTGATAATAGAAAATTGTTATGTTACATGCAATAAAATCATTGATAAATGGTAAAAGAAATTGTTTTAAAGTTATTTCATACCTACAACGTAATTCTACCCTATATTTTGTATACTTTTAAGTTTTTTGCACTTCTGGAGATCTCAGCACTCTATGGATTTTATATATTCTTGCTGCCATTAAGTAGTTGAATTATTTCTGTATTTTATGATTGCTTATCAGATCTAATTACTATTTTGTGTACATAGTAAGTAGTTGATAAGGTTTTGTTTTTAATGTCAAGAGAAGTTAAGCATTACATTAAAAAGTAGTTTCATAAGAAAAAAAGTTAAGTTGCACTAGTTTGTGAAAAGAAACAACTGAGTTAGATTGATAAAAATGTTAACAAAACAAAATCAAATCAAACATTTGACTGGAACTTCTAAAAAAAATAAAATTTTTGTTATTCTTATCAGTTATCCTGAAGAAACTAAAATAAATGTTGCAAATAACAAATTTCATTTTAATTCAACTTTCTTAGTACAACTACTTATAAATAGTAGGATTGGTAATATGTGCTTTCAAGTGCGAAAGTTTTTGTCCCATTTTTTTATAATTAGTTTTAGTTAATTTATTTTTGATAGTGAACTGTACTTACTTATGTGTTAACGCTTGTGTTAAGAAACTTATTTTGCCTAGAATGCTGTAAGATGGTAAATTTAGTTAAAATAAAATTTGGTCTATTCAACAGTATCTTGGAAAATTTAATGTAATCTTAAAGTACATTGTGCTTAGTAAATTGCGTAAACTGAATTGGACTTTGTTGTGACCTTAATCCAACGTCTAACTGAATATTTCAGGGAAAGCTAATGCATAACTAGGTTAAAATGAGTAAGTTGATTGCATAATTTTGTAGATTTAATAAATGTATGAAAAACTTCCTACAATCTTCATCGGTTAAGTTTAGAAAAAAATAATGGTAAAAAGACGATATCAGTCGATTTTACATGAATCATATGACAAAAGAAATGACGTTAGTGTTAATTTAATAGCGTTATTTGTAATTAATTTTTTAACGAATATTTTGTTCATATACATATTTATTTATTTATTTGATACAAAGAGTATACAATACAAAGATATTGCAATTCTAATTCTGTAGGGGTAACGCTTTCACCTGTTTACAGGCCGGTACGATGTAGAAAAAAAAGAAATATTAAATTGACTAATTTTTTATGAACTAATTTTAATACCTAGATCATATTAGATTTTCATTTGATATCTATTATTTTTGCGAATAAAGACTTATTTGATTTTACATTACACGTAGTTATCTTTTTTTTTCTTTTTTTTTTATATTTGTTTCAGTGTACATGTAGTCATTATTATTAAATTATTTAATTTTGCTTTGTTATAGAGTAATAGTTTATTGTATCCACTTTTTTAGTGCATTAATAGTTCTATGGTTTTGTTTGTCAATTGTGTCTAGATTTGTTGGCAACTTATTACATAGTTTTATAGTTGTAATATAACTGTTTTTAGTGCCAACTGTTGTCAACATTTTTGTTAATTGTACAAGTTTTACTCTGATTAAGCTTTTTGAATTCATATACGGTAGTATGTACGTAAAGATTCATAAGCAAATTTATATCTTGTAGTTAGAGGATTATCTAATATAAAATTATTTTTATAAAGTTATTTGTAGTATGCTATTTTGTATTCGTTGTACTGTTTTTATTGTGTTATTGTAAGCTTCTCACCATGCTACAGTTTTGTAATTTGCTACGCGATTACAAAAGGCGTAATAAATTTTTTTTAATGTATCATGGCCTATGTATTAAGAAATTTTGTTGAAAATGTAAAAATTGAGTTTTTTTTACTACTTGTTCAAACTCTTCGTCTCATCGTACATTATAAACAAGAATTAATCCTAAATACTTGTGATATCGTACTCTTTCTTAGCATTGTCTTATATTTTATAGTTATCTTTTTATTCTTGCGATACTATCACAGTAGTTTCCAAAAGTCATAAATACTGTGTTTCCTATTGTTCAAAATAATTTTGTTTATGTCTGTCAATAAGCTGTAAGTCTTAGGTACTGATTCATCTTATTTTCAACTGTATCCCAAGTTTTTTCTGTGGATATAATGGCCGTGTCGTCAGTGAAAGATAAAACAGAGCCTTGAGGCATAAAAATAAGGAAGTCATTGATGTAAATAATACATATCAGTAAACCTAAAATAATTCTTTGTAGATCCCCAATATTTGATATACCTCTATATTTTTATGTACATTCAATTAATCTGGTTTTTACTTGATGTTTAATTAGCGAGAAACTTTAAAACATACGAATTAATCATTAGAAACCAAAGTCATTTTTAAAGGTTTGCTCTTGAGCCTTAATTTAAGTCTGGTATTAAATACGCTTTATGTAATGTGATAGACAAAAATACTCACATTCATTGTAAACCTTAAGTTTTCGCTGGATAACGCATATTGCCTTAAAATCTCTACATCAGATGCATTTTTCAACAATAAAAGTTAAAAAACTTTTATTAATATAAACTATTAAGTATATTCTTGCTAACTTCTTTGAATTGTCTTATATCATTCAATGTTTTTTTAATTCTCATGTTAAATATTGCTGCTCCTTCATTGTGATCCAGCGTATAAGGAAAAGGTAGTTGTGTGTAACTTCTTCTAAACTTGATTTTTAAGTAAGCGTGCAAACAGCACACCTATTTACTCGTATTATATGGAAGGAAGTTATAAACAATTTTTTACAAGATTCAAACACTTTCTAGCTGTACTCATGGTTGTCATTCCATATTAGACTAGAACGATCACTAATCGGCACAGATAGGAGTCATTACTTTTTTGGCTAGAATGTGAAGTAACTGGAAGTACCTAAATTATTTATGCAATTTTAGAAACTTTGAAATTTACATGTAAACATTAAATATGGCTTTAACGGTTCATCTTTTTCCATTGCTTGTATGTTCTGAAGTACGATACGAATACAAGTCTAAATCATACACGCCACAAGTGAATACTGTTGCTCTTTTGAATTTTTTGTCATCTCATTTTAAGAACTATTCCTGAATGGTGGATTTTGAATAACGGACATTAATTATACAACATTTTTACAAATGACTGTATAAACTTGATTTGTAATTGGACTTATTATTTTAATGATTCAAATTTTTTGTATTTTATGACTTTTTAAATAACGTTTCTTGACTAATTATGTAAAGTTTCTCAAGAGCAAACTATCATTTGTTCATACGGAGCATTGATTTTTTCAATAAATTAGTTTATGGACTCAAACAAAAAGTCGGGGACAGATCATATTGTGCAATTCCATAATGTGTAGTTAAGGTCTTGGTTTTCATTGTACCATACAAATATCTAAGCAGACTTTGTTCAATCTTATTATGTGTATAGGATCTTGTTCAAAATAAAGAATTATTAAAGTCTCTAAACCAACACTTAAAAATACTTGTGTATAGCATAAGATGGATAAACTTCATTTGATATACATTAGTCAATAAAAGTTATCATACATACCAGGATAAAAAATGTATAATTTATCATTCCTCATTAAAAATTACTAACTGAAAACTTCTTCGCAAGCATAATAGCTGATCGATAACAAAAGCTATTTATTCAAATGGATAAATACGTGTAATAACTGGTACCAGTAATTTTTTAGTAGTTGAAAAGGTATAGCTCAAAAATTGTAAAGTTGTGCATGTTGCACGGTTACAAAGTACTTGCATTTTTATTCATAGCTTTCGTAACTTAATTATGATTTAGGTTAACTATTCAAGTAAGTAAAACATAAACAAACATTTGATGATAGCAGTAAATTCAATGAAAATAAGTAACCTAAGAATTCAGGATGCTTCAAATCATTTGTTTCGAAAACAACAGAATATCGTTGGGCTTATAATAAAATTGAGATGGTAATGTCTGGGTCAGTCATTTTTTTATGTAATAATAAATCGACCGCTCTAAATTATTCTTATAACATAAAAATTGTCCAATGAACACTGATATGCCAGTGTTTTACAGGCTGCGTAAGTATTTAACAACAAGTTAAAGTGGTCAAGGTCCTTATTTAAAAAATTTTCTGCATGTTATCCTACTTAAAAAGATTTTATTTTCAACAATAATATTAAAACTTTAAGCAATGTATTATTTTTTCTCTAACTTAACAAACTTGTATCTGAAATCCTTTCTTTTGGTTAATATGTGCATTCGATTAATAAACAGTTTTTAAATAAGACCGCCTTATTTGAAGCAGTTTTAGGACTTAAATAACACATTGCGTTACTAGAGCACAAATTGTGAGTTTTATACTTTTAATTTATGTAGTAACATAACTTTCCCACTAAATTTAATTAACTATTTAATTAACGAATCTTCTGACAGAATTAATTTTTTCTCGTGAAATACATAAAATTACTGACTGCACCTCAAACTTTTTGCTTGGCTTTTAAGTCGTTCTCGTGTAGTAATAGAATCCACACATCAAAAAAGTACGGCGAAATAAGCGAGCACGCTGGCAAAACTTAACAACTGGGTTTGCTTTAGTTTTGCAGGTAGATCTTCGTATACAAAATAATACGAGCCCCCTCACTTTATCAGCTCTAGGAGTCCATCCCCTGTGTGTGACAATACACATGTATAGAGTTGAACTACTATTTACTGCATTTACCTTCTCCTCCTCTCCCACCCTGCACGTTCATGGCTAATACACGTACACTTTCAAGCTCCTGATTTTTTCGCCCTGGCTTGTTTACTTATACCTCCGTTGAAATTTTTATCTGGTACGCCATTACACAGAGCTGTCATTCAATTAGAAATATCATGTTATCGATGTTGGCCACTATAGAATCCAGACAAATAAGTTTTTGAAATTCTTCCGTCCAAAAAGAGTTTAAGACGTCTAAATCTTAATAAGGGGGGAGGAGAATACACACCCCTAAGAAGGAGAACAAAAATTTTTCATCAATTT